GTATTCTTATTGTTAAAGTATATCTGAATGAGGATCAAATGACTGAGTTGGTCTTTAAGAATGAAAACCAACCTGTTTGTTCCTGCAGATCTTCCTGTTTGACTGTGAATGTTTCTTCAATCTTCACATCTTCACTCTCCTCTTTAATAAACGCCATCTTTATAACAGTGTGGAGATCAGTCACTTCAGCAGTTTTTCTCTGCGTTTGGACACTTTATCCTGTTTAAAAAAATAAAAACATTAAAAACGTCCTGATTAAAATAAATAAAACAATGAACAGAAACAAAATGACTTCTCTTCAATACTTGCTTTAACAGTTTTATATGAGAGTCATTAACAAAAATAAATCAGGTAAGTCTGAGCAAGACACAATGAGCTGATTAAAACTAGTACTCCATTTCTTATATATAGTGATTTGTCCTTAGAATGGAATGACATTATGCTTTTTAATAAATTAAACCTTAATTAAAACACTTATTACTCACATTTCTGTTGCTTTATTCAAACAATAGCCCTAATTACAGTGAGTAAATAGTACTTCGTTGTAAAAAGGGTCAAAATAATGCCAACAGCAGGTTCATAATATAGCATCGGATGAAAACCCTGAAACTTTATTCAATCGCTTTATATTTATGTAAAGGTTTTAAAAACAAACCTTTCTCCAGCTGAATCAAGCGCAAGAGCGGCGCAGCCTAATGACGTCACATGCCACGCCAAAATAAAAGTCTTTTGTTTTTAGTTTTTTGCCACCTATTGTTGCAGTCATGACTTGTTCAAACATTTCTCTCCCTAGTTTTCTACTTGACACTTGCTCTCTCTCTCTCTCTCTCTCTCTCTCTCTCTCTCACACACACACACACACACACACACACAATCACACAGATGTTTAGTATTTGAAGTTGATCAAAACCTTTAATCTAAACATTTTAAAACAACTTAAAAAAACGTCTTTAGAGGTCATCACTAAGTGCCTTTGAGACATCAAAATAAAACAAATAAATAAAGTTTAAGACTTTTTAATTTAACCACATAGTTGTTGTATTATTTAGACATTAGACTGTAAGAAATGAATGTTGGTCAAGCTCCTGCCCTTTTTACAATTAATCTACTAACAGAAAAACAGCAAACAAACCTCAAATTGTGTCAACACTGTCAAGGACAAATTCAAAGTATATCTTCATTTCAGTGTGATTAATAAATGTGTATTTTCAGAAAGGTAATGTGTCCCTTTTTTACAAACCCAACTTTATAGATTATAAAAAAAAACTATTGGTAATAATGAAATATTGGACAAAACATTGATTTCCAGATAAAATATGCAATCGTTGCACATTATTTTTTTTTTTAAAAATCCAAGATTTAAAATATTTAGTCAAACTTTCAAACATTATTAACTGGCCCTTATTGGTTAATTAAGACATCATACAAGATGTTTTGCTGAGGTTATAAATAATTTGTTCATTTTCATAAAATTTTAACATACGTTGTCGTGTGACATTCAGCAACTGTGAGACAGCGTTCTATATATATATATATATATATATATATATATATATATATATATATATATATATATATATATATTATTTTATATATTTTTTGTGGCAGATTATCAATACTGCCTAGAATACAGGATACATCAGTAATTCTATTAATATTAAACATTGTTCATTTATTTTACCTTTTTAATTTAACAACGGCATGTGTAAACTTGTGGCATTACATTATGAGTAAACTTGTGGCATTAAACTTTAAAAGGCATTACTTGCTGTAAAATGGAATGTTACACTTAGTGTCATTTCAATAACAGCTGTACAAAATAATAAAGTAATTTTTCATAAGCATGATCTATTTTCCACATTATGGACATACTGTGTTCTGAATAACATAACTGCATTTAATATAATAGTAAATAGAGTAGTATTCTCCTTACCTCATCTAATTCTTCTTTCCACAGATCAGGAATATAGCAACATTGTGATCTGAGGTGAATTCAATAACCTAAAACATTCTGAAAGACAAGTTACATGAGTAATTTGAAAACAACAGTGAGTGGCTAAATAATAGAGTTTATGCAACTTACACATAATTAAAATCCAGAAATTATCAATACAAGATTACCTGAATGTAAAAATAGTAGATAGCAGATCTTTTTATTGATATTAATATTATTTAGGCATTTTAACATCAATTTATATACTTTAACTTGGTGATAGATGGGAATAGATCACCCAAACTAACAATTCTGTCATTTAGCCTCAACATTTACTTGTTCCAAACATACTTAACTCTTTTTTCTGCTGAACAATAAAGAGGATATATTGAATAAAGCTGGAAAACTGTAACTCTATCTGCCTTTCTCATCTTTATCCCATTTCTCTTGCCATAATCTATTAACACCTTCTTTAATTATTGTCTTGATTTCTGATTTGCTAAGAGGAACTTGTATTTCTATTTGATTTGATTATCCTTGCAATCCGTCATTGACAACATTATTAGACAGTTTTATTCACTAGTAAAATCAGACATTTGTCATTATCAGATTATATTCAACAATATATAGGCTAGAGTAGTTATACTGACACTGTAAACATTTATTTTCATGCACAACTCTGTTCGCTATAAAAAAAATAAAAAATCAAATGCTTGTCGTAATCATAACTCTAAAATGAGATATGATCATTTAAATGAAGTGCACACTTGCGGTTTTATTTTGACTAAGTGCTAAGTGCTTCATACTTCGCGCGCAGCTCCCAAACGATCACTCTGTGCCACAAACTGAATATTATTTAAAACTGTAATACCTGTTACTTACAACATCTGCAAGTTCTGTTCACTAAAGTAGGCGCGTGCGTGTCAATTATTAAGTTGAGCGTGCTCTCACGGGCAGCAGCTCACATCACGTTAGTTTCCCAGCTGCGAAAACATCATTATATGAAGACAAGAATGACTTTTTTAGGTGAATTATAATTTATAAATACAGTATGTGACACTTTTAACATCATTTGGAGGTGTCCATGTCACTGAGCAACATTATGTGAAACAATGAAAAGACTCGTGCAGCCGCCTTTTCTTCTCTCCTTAACTTGAAAATATGATTGACAGAATCGTTGAAATGCTGGAAGATCGTCAAGGGGGTCGAATCGAGATCGCAATCTTTTTACCATTAATTGTGCGGCTCTAATCCCTAATCATAACTCCTGTACAGCAGTCCCACAAATTTCTGACACTCGGTGACACTGGAATACCCTGTCAGAAAAGTCTAGTGGCTGTCAATGAGCTTTTTACAGTGTCTGCTATAATGTTAATGCTGTTGTTTTGTGTTTACATTGATGAGTATGGCCGCTGTGTTAAATGCACAGTACTGTTACGATCTTATTGCCACATTAGATCATTATGATAACATATACCTTCAGTGATTTCCTGAAGATAAATACCCAAAAATAACAACTGAAATAAGTACAGCAGTCGCGATCGTCTGATCTCATATGAAGCAAAAAATCGCGAGGACATATGATGACGTGTGCAGGTACTGTAGTGCTGTCCCAATTCTTAGGGGTAAAATTTGAAGCCCTTCAACTTAACCCTCAGTTGTAAGCGCCAAGGGGAAGAGGTAGGGGTACAAAAATAGAATTGAGATTAGGCCTTAATATTCAATCCACATAAATTTATTAAAAGTGTTAAGTTAACTTAATTTGTGTTGTGACAACATGAAAGAATTGTGTGGAACCCTGCACAAATATGGTTGTCGGTTCATAATAAGTTGAAGCACATTGTCAGATTTTGCTGTATTTGGCTTAAGCGTTCTTGGGTGGCTCGCAAATGTATAGATAACTCTAATACATAAAATAAGTAAGCTGACCAAAGTTCTTACGGGGAGAAGACTTTATTGAAGACAATTAATTGTACAGTTCATCAGCAGTGATGTTAACTTGTCCATCTTCAAGTAACTTAAACCAAAGTACTGTCTGTGAGACACTAATTTATAACAAAGCATGAAACCCCCCTGGAGATTACCCAAATGCTTTGGTTGGGTCACATCTCCTGAGTTCCTCTAGGTCATTTGGTTCACATCTTATCAGAAGTAGATACTTGTTGCATATGAAACAAGCCAATACAATCTATTAACATATAGAGTTATTTTGCCTTCTTGCAGCCCGATAGCAACTCTCAAAACCTGGTACTGGGCTGTGACCCCTGATCTACACTACAAAACAGCTGGCAAAATCTTCACCCCTCTTTAGTTGAGTTTAAATTTTCAGGTGTACAAAGGGTTTCATTATCAGTAACTTGATATGCATTCAAGAGTTCACACTTGTTTGGCATGCTATCCTGAGAGAGACCTAAGCTCATAAGATCCTCGAGCCCTGGGCTCCCTCCCGTTAGCAGGACGAGAGGGGAGTGTGAGCTCAGGTAGATCTCGATGAACTCCCCAGACTTCTTTCTATTCTAATGACAGATATAGGGTCGGCTAAAGGGAGATATAAGGTTTACTAAGAGCTCGACTATGGTGCCAATTTAATGTTCAGTTTACTTAGGTTGTGTGTTTTTGGGCTGTGGGAGAAAACCAGGGGAAATCCACGCGAGCACAGGGAGAATGAGCAAACTCTGCACAAAAAGTCAACTGGTTAGCAGGGACTTTAACCTGAGACATTCTTACTGTGAGGCAACAGTGCTAACCACTGGCTAATCATTGGCTGCCGTGTTGCCCAATCTAGAAAGGAGGGGGAGTAAGGGTGGAAGAGGGATTCTGCAAGACAAGGATAACTGAGTTAAGCTACGGTCACACTGGGCTTTTCCTCCTATAGACTTCCATTCATACGCACGCGAATGCGTCAGACTAGAAACAGGGTTATGCGTCAAGTTTCGCAGGTTGCTGAGGTGCAAAGTTCAAGCTTTGTGAACTCTGACCTGCGAAATCGCATCACTTGACTGCGTGAGACCAATCGAGGATCAAAACATGACCTCTCTGGACAGAAATGTAAACCATGGAGCAATTGCTCACTTTTTTAATTTCTGAAAATCTTGTTTGATCCTGCCCCTTTTCACAGCGCCGTACAACAGAATTTCACAATCTCAAAGTCTAGTGTGACCGCAGCTTTGTGTTCTGGTTATCTATAGTGAGTCAGGAATCATCTGATTGGTGAATCATGTTTTAGCTAATGCAGGACCAGCTGTGGATAATCATAAGCATGTGATCCTCTCGAAAGTAGTTTATAAATAAACTTCACTTGAATAAACAGCCAAACTACGTGAAAAAGCTGCTGTTTTGAATATACCCGTGTTTGTGTGGACAAGGCCTCAATGTTGAGGATTCTGCTCTCCATTGTGAAGCTTCATGTGAGTGTTGAGGCTTCTTTTACTTTTAAAGCCCTTTCCACATTCACTGCATCTAAAACGATCCTCTCTTGAGTGAATCTTCATGTGTTTCTTAATGTAGTCTTTGCGTGTGAGACTCTTTCCACACTGATCACATGTGAACACTATGGTTCCAGTGTGACCATTCATGTGGTTCTTGAGGCTAGTTTTGGTTGTGAAGCTCTTTCCACACTGAGCACATGCAAACGGCTTCTCTCCGGTGTGAGTTCTAATGTGGTGTTTGAGTGAGCTTATATGTGGAAAACTTTTACCACACTCTGTGCATGTGTAAGGTTTCTCTCCAGTGTGAATCCTCATGTGGATGTAAAGGTCTTGTTTTTGACCAAAACTCTTTCCACACTGTTCGCAGGTGTGAGGTTTCTCCCTAGTGTGAACTCTCATGTGAGCAATCAGGGTCAGCTTTAGACTGAAACTCTTTCTACAAAGTATACAGCTAAAAGGCCTCTCTCCAGTGTGAGTTCTCATGTGTGCTGCAAGGCTTCTTGCATTATAGTAGCTTTTTCCACACTGTTGGCATGTGCACGGCCTCTTTCCAGTGTGAATTCTCATGTGAGTATTAAAGCTTTGTTTTTGACCAAAACTCTTTCCACACTGTTCGCAGGTGTAAGGTTTCTCCCCTGTGTGAACTCTCATGTGAACATCAAGGTTTGGCTTATGACAGAAACTCTTTCCACACTGCTCACAGCTGAAAGGCTTCTCCCCAGTGTGAATTCTCATGTGTGCTGCAAAGTTTCCAACATGATAAAAGCTTTTTCCACACTCTTGGCATGTGAACTTCCTCTCTCCAGTGTGAATTCTCATGTGGGCTTTAAAGCCTTGTATTTGACCAAAACTCTTTCCACACTGTTCGCAGGTGTAAGGTTGCTCCCTAGTGTGAACTCTCATGTGAACATCAAGGTTTGACTTCTGACTGAAACTCTTTCTACACTGTTTACAGCTGAAATTACACCCAGATTTGGATTTCCGAGGTCTTCCGTGTGATGAAGTCTTTTTAGTCAGTGTGGGTTTTTCATCAGTCATTATTTCTTGGGGTTTCTCAAACTGCTGTTTCTCATCTATTTCAATCTGTTGATGAGTCTCTTCTTTCAGCACCATCAGATCTAAAAAAAAAAAAAAAAAAAAGTTAACTTTAGTATGAAGGCTCAAAGCGATAAGCAAGAAATGGATGTTTCACCCACAAATGAAAATGACCTTACAATTTACTCTCCGTCATGTAGTTTTAGACATTTCCTTTATTGTGGAACACAGTAAGCCAGTAGTTTTTTTTTTTTCTTTTTTTAATATCTTCTTTTGTGTTCAACAGGATTAAGAAACTCATAAAGGTTTAAAACCACACTAGGAAGAGTAAATGGTGAGGCTATTTTCATTTCTGCATCAACTATCCCTTTAAAAGGCTCCTACAAATACCCATTTTTTAAAAGATGTAAAATAGGTCTTTGGTGTTCCCAGAATGTGTCTGAGGTTTCAGCTCAAAATCAGATCATATACACTGTAGAATATTTAATTTTAGGGGTCAGAGGAAAACCAAGCTCTTTTTGTGCCTGTGGCCTTAAATGCAAATAACCACATGCACTCGCTCTAGATTACTCGTGTTGTTTCCTCGATTGAGACAAATCCTGCATGTTCATAGCAAGTATGCATAATCCACGCTTATATTTGCAAGTTTGCATTATTGTATAAAACTTATGCAAATTCTTAATGCCACATTTACTTTAAGCTGGAGTGATGAGGAGACGGCAAGATGACATACTTTGTTACTTGTTTTTTTATTTATTTGTACTTTTGTCTTTGTGCATGTCCTGATGCTTAGCTGAAGACCTACTTGGTGACATTGTATATACCCGACAAGATGCAGAAATGCCATCTAAAAAGGTTACTTGCGGTTTGTCCAATCAGGGACAGTGACAACATAAATATACAAAATAATGATAACCCAGGGTTTACGAATATGAACTGTCTGTTAATGAACACCCAGGATTATTTTTTAAACCCATGTATAGCATGAGCAGTGTGGAAGGTGACTAAAAATAACCCAGAATTTATCCAGGGTTAGAATGACCCAGGGTTAACCATTTGAAGTGTGAAAAGCCCTAAGAATACTCCGCATCAGCTCTCAGGATAAACAAAGTATAATGACAAACAGCGACAATTGTCAATCATGTCATGATGACCTGGGGCCTGTTTCAGTAAGGAGGTTCAACCAACTCAGAGTTTAATCTTGATCTCTGAGTTCATTTAACGAGAGATTAAATACTCAAGAGTTTTCAATTTCAGAAAAACATTTGAGCTACAAAAGTCTTTCAGTCAAGAGCAGTGAGTGATTTTCTCCTTTTGTTGTTTGATTAATGCTAAAAACAGTCGGCAGCAGGAATATTGCGCACTGTCACTTTAGGAATAGTGCGGCTCTGATATGGTTTCTCTTTCACATGTCTTTTGATTCTCAACTTGTTTGTTTATTACACAAATAAGGGTTTATATGAATATTCACTAAACACAGCACTCTGACCCAAATTTGCATGCATTTGACCATAAAAGTGCTCAGATTAAGATGGCGTTAGGTGTGTGTTCTATATGATGGAATAATCATTTATCTCGATTAATGGTTTTTCGATTAAGTGGTAGAGGTTGATATGACATTTAGAATGTAAGCAGGACTAAAAAATCTTTTTAGAACGAGTAATAATCCCATTAATCTAGTTACAGTACATGTCCGTCAAAGGTTAGTGAATTTAAGCTAATTATTCATTAAGAAAGGACAAGCCATTCTGCTATGTGACTTTGTTCTTTGTGTAACTGAAATGTAGACAATAGCTGTTTCCATCCAAAAATGCGAATTAAATTTATGCGCAAAACTGGGATGTCACATAAAAGATGTGCGAATAAAGCAGCGTTTCCATCCAATGAATCAAAGAGAACAAAATTGTCACTTCCTGATTAACAGGCCCCAATTAAGAACAGTAAAAACAGAATTTACTGCGGTGGAAGAAGCTACATGAATCTTTTCCTTAAATGACAGGTCAGGGGACAATGCTGGCACACAATGAACACATGTTGGCTTCTGAAGCAATGAGACGCAGAGAACAGATGTTCTGGAGGTGATAATAATATAATAACATGAATACTAAAACAGTTCAGGTGTTTTAGAATGACCAAAACAACATTTCAGATGTTTATAATGTTCTCAGCCTGCTGGTTTGTGCATTCACACACATTTTCATCATCATATGATCTCTTATAACAAACCTTTTTAAACACACATACTGGAATTTGTTCAGTAAAAGTGCTTGCAAGGTTTACGAGAGTTAATCTTCTCTTATCGAATAAAAAGTTTGTCCTACTCAGTTATGCGCATGTTTCTTTATGCTTACATTTTAAAAGTTATGTGCATCATGACGTTTCCATCAACCAATTTTTTATGCTCATAGCCTATCCAAAATGCACAATATGTAAGGCTAAGTGAGAAATACCGCTTTATCTTTTAAAAAGGGGAGGAGACCGACAGAAAACTCTCTTTCAGAGACAGGCTCTCTTGCTCTGCAAACAAGTGTGTTCATGACTATACATACAAAGAAAAACAATAAAATAAGATAATATGACTTTGCTACAACAAGCAGCATTAGGCATGGGCCAGTATAAGATTCTGACAGTATGACAACCTTGAATAAAAAATATCACAGCTTCATGGTACTGTGATTACTCCTCTTAAATATATTCTTTTTAATGTTCCTGGTAAAAAAAAAAAAAAACACTTTTTCCCCTTTGAACACAAAACATTTTCTTTTGAGAAACTTTTAAAGTATTTTGGAGCAGTAAACATGTCAGGCTAAAGGCTGATTTATACTTCAGCGTCAAACGCCGGCAAATGCTACAGCGCTGATGCATAGCCCTTCGCCGTGGCCGTCGGCGTCACTGACGTGCACCTCTCAAAAAATGTAACTACACGTCGCAACAACGCGTAGCGCAAGCTCTGTGATTGGTCGGCTTTGTAGCACTGACGAGTCTGGGCAGGACCAAGAGCCGTGCGAATGGCGCGGCCCGATGGAGCGATTGTTTACAAGTGTGGAGTCCCGTGAAGGAGCTCCGGATGGAAAGTTTTGTTTTGTGTTTACCTCATAGTTAAAGTTGTTGCACGTCCGCCGGTTCCTGCCTCAAAATGAGCGAGTTTGAGTCACTTGTACAACCAGGAAGTGTTCAGGAAAAGCAAAACAGAAGCGAAGAAACGACACAGAGGAACATTTACACCTCACTGCCAACTAGCGTTTCGGAAGTGTTAATGCAGACCAACAGAGACAGAAGACAGAAGTATAAATGCACAGCTGCGCGCGTTGCATGCGCCGTGAGTTACGCCGGTCACTTGACGCAGAAGTATTAACCAGGCTTAAATCACTCAATTGAATACTTGACTTCTGTTGTCTTCATTTGTTTCATAAACACAGATTTCTTTACAATTTAAAATGGCATCTTTGGAGATCTTTTCTGCTGGAGATACTGTTGTCCTGAAAAACTTAAAACAAAATGTAAAAAAAAAAAACTTACATATAGCGATGAACGGTACAGCAGAAAATATTGGCGGTTTTAAAACCTCGACTTTTTTCAAACTGCGTTAAAAAAACCTTGAAAACGGTTATCGTCCCATGCCTCAGCAGCACAACACTGTTTTTAGGATCTAAAAATGTATTCTTTAACAAAAGTCTCAAGCAAAAAGATTCCAATGGTGGCACCTGCTGGTACATGAAGAATATGGTAAATTTGGTAAATACTGACGAACTTTACACTCAAATGTTTGCATATCATCAGCATACTGTAATTCATTTCTTAAGCAGCAAAACGTTATTGTTCCACAATAGTCATTTAGTCTCACGTCACCCTGCAGCAACATCATATAGTTAAGAATACTGTACAATGTTTTATAATAATTAATTACTTTAGTGTCCATTTCATTCAGCATATTTAATATTGGGGGCATCCATGTTTTTTTATACTTTAAACCAGAGTTTCTGCTTGTTTCACCAAGTTAAATGTAAGACTTTTAAAGACATTTTTTAGACCATTATGACAATTTTAGACTCATAAAGGGCTAAAGGCTAAGGAATTTATCAAATAGCCCAGATGAAAAAGATTTTAATTTGCCCTATTAAAAAATGATAATTTAATACATTTAATAATACAATAATAAATTAATAAAAAAAAATATATTATAGATATTTCTTAGCAAAAGATTTTAAATTGTGTGTAATAACATGCAAGCTTTACTTGTATCCACACACTTTTTTCCTAAATATACTTTCTTTAAAAAATAATTAAAAATTAACAAATGTTTTAAAAACTATAACAAACTAAATCTACACAACAATCTGTCCTCGATGTTTTCAGCAGTAAATACATGGAGCACGTTTAAACAAATGTTATTGTGAGGAAAATACTTTAACCATTATAATAAATAGAGTTAAAATGACCTTTTTGAATAAAAAGTTGAAAGTTTTATTGAGATGGATTGTTGGTGATTGTGTGGGTTTTGGCCGGATTGGGTAGCAAAACATGAACAAAGGAAAATGAAGACTTGTTTAAAAAGATTAAAGACCTGCAACACAATATTTCAGTAAATTTTTAAGGCCGAAAATTTTGATTTTGGAATTTAAGACATTTTAAGACCCCGCAGAAACCCTGTTTAAACACAATAGCCCTGATAATTAATTAATATAATAATGATGTAATTCTAACTCTAATACTATCTGTGAGAACTAGTAACATCTACTAGAAACAAGTTAAAACCAATAAAGAGGTCGATGAAAAAAGTTAATTTGGATCAATGTGACATATGCAACTGGAGAGTACTAAGCCAACACTATCACCGTAATAGCAGATATCTTCTATGAGAATACTGTAGGTCAAATATCTTCAGCTCAGTTTTAGTTATTTATTTTATATAGCACTGGTGCTCAAGGACACTTTACAAACAGTAAGAGAACAAGAAAAGCAATAGCCTTAAGAAGGTAGAGAAAATGGGAGACTAATAATAAATAAAATAATGACAAAAGACACAAGAACAAGTAACAAGAGAGAAACTCATTCCTGTCTTTCAAGTTATGTTTCCATCCACCTATTTTTATGCACATAAAAAACGGTTTATGGAAACACCATGATTCAAAAAAACAAACAACGTATGCGCATAACTGAGTAGGATAAACGTTTTATTCGATAAGAAAAGATGAAAATCACGATGGAAAACACGATACAAACTCCAGTATGTGCATTGAAAAAGGTCATGTGATTTTGTTATAAGAGATCATGTGATGATAAAAATGTGTATGAATGGACAAACCAGCCGGCTCAGTACATTATAAAACATCTGAACTCTTGTTTTGGTCATTCTTAAACGCCTTACAGTTTAAGTGTTAGTGTTATTATATCATTCATGACCTCCAGAATTAAGAGCATCTTAGCTTCGCGTCTGACACCTTTAAACGCCACTACGCGTTCACTGCGTTTCAGGATTACCCTCTGAGGCGCAAGTCATTTATTAGATGAAGAAAAGATTAGCCGCATTTCCACTGTCGGGCATGTGCAAGCCAGGGCTTTTATCGGGCAGGGCGCCGGGCCAATCGCAAGGGGGGGTTGAGCAGTGAGGCAGAAATCATGTCGCATTTCCACTGTCGGGCTAGTACCTCGCAGAGTGTCATGCAAACCCCGCCCCCAGAATCTCCCCCGAATCAAACGTCAGACAACCCGCCCACTTCAGCGGGAATCAGGCGGACAATGCATGCATGACAGATAAAAAAGGTAGCCTAGTTTCTGCTTTCACTCACCCATAAAATGCTCTGTTTACATGATTTGATTAATATCATCGTATCCATATACTTTATAAATAATATTTCAAACCTCCTCCGGTGTTTACTGTTTTAGAAAATATCTAAAATCTTTTTTTCAGATAGGCCTTTGTAAAATGAAAGTTTAATATGGCTTTAAAATGGTTTGATTTATGTACTGTTTATAGGCTACCTAAATTATTATAGCTAGATTTTATTGGTTTATTTATTTTTGTGATTTTATTATATCTGATATTTGTAATTATTTAAATTATTTCAATATATCTTAGGCTATTTTATTAGGATATGACACTATTGTTTTTGAGTCTACAAAAATGGACACGAAATTTGTAAAGTTTAATGTCTTTCTGTTGTATTTATGTTGTGTATTATCTTCAAAATAAATAAAAACAGAAGCCGCTCGCAGCATCAACAGAGCTGTGAGAGAGCGCTCTTTTTCTCGGTCTCACATTCACAAACAGGCATCTAAACACGCACAAACACCTTTTAAACTTGACAAAAACTCACAAAAACCTTTACTGTCTGTTGTGTCTTTTTTTGCATATCTTTTATGCTAAAATCCAGTTTTGCGCATCAAGTTCATCCGCATTTTTGGATGGAAACATAGTACTTGAGTGCTTATGTGCATTTAGGAGAACTAGGCAGCACACTCAGGGCTGCAAGATGGATTTAATTTAATATTCTTATTATTAAAATATATCTGAATGAGGATTAAATGACTGAGTTGGTCTTTGAGAATAAAAATTAACCTGTTTGTTTCTGCAGATCTTCCTGTTTGACTGTGGATGTTTCTTCAATCTTCACATCTTCACTCTCCTCTTTAATAAACGCCATCTTTATAACAGTGTGGAGATCAGTCGCTTCAGCAGGAGTTTTTCTCTGCGTTTGGACACTTAATCCTGTTTAAAGTAAATAAAACAATGAACAGAAACAAAATAACTTCTTAACACTTACTTCAACAGTTCCTTTATAGGAGAGTGATTAACAATAAGAAATCAGGTAAGTTCGAGCAAGAAACAATAGCCACAAATGACCTGATTAAAACTAGTAACGTTACTCCATTTCTTATATAGTTGAAAACTTAGAATGGACTGACAATATACTATTTAATAAATAAAATTTTCAATAAAGAACTTATTACACACATCTCTGTAACTTTTTTTAAACTTTATTCTTTATGTATGTTCTTAATTGTTTTGTTTGTTTTATTTAGCTTATTGTCTGCTTACAGCAATGCATAGCACTTTTTTTGCACAAGACAAATTTCCTCTTGAGGACAAAAAGTTTATCCTGTCTTTATCCAAACAATTGTACTATACTAATATTGACACTAATATTGTCAACAGCAGGTACATAATTTAGCACTGAATGAAAAAAAAAACTGAAACTTTAATCAATCGGTTTATATAAGTGTAAACGCTTTAAAACAAACCTTTCTCCAGTTGAATAACAGCGCTTGAACGGCGCAGGCTTATGACGTCACACGCCACGCCAAAATAAAAGTCTTTTAAAACCTTTTTTGCCACTTACTGTTGCAGTCATGACTTATTGATACATTTCTCCTTCGTTTCCACTTTCTCACAGACGCACATATATTCAGTATTTGGAGTTGATCAAAACCTTTACTCTAAACATTTTAAGACAATTAAAAAAACTTTTAATCCACTAAGACTGTTTAAAGCAGAAATCTCAACATTCTAAAAGGTATAACAAATAATCTAATGAGTGTTTGGAGCTGAAACTTTACAGAAAAAAAAGGTAAAATAGGTGTCCTTCATGTAAAAAGTATTCATTACTACTACACGTTTTAGTTCTTTTAACTAGTCATGACTTATATATAGTTTTTCTCTGCGTTTGGACACTTTATCCTGTTAAAAATTAACAAAGCAATAAAAATGTAAAATGAATAAAACAATGAACAGAAATAAAATAACTTCTCTTCTTCTTATATGAGAGTAATTAACAAAAATAAATCAGATAAGTCTGAGCATGAAACTATAGCCACAAATTAGCTGATTAAAACTAGTAACACAACTACATTTCTTATATATAGTGATGTAAACTTAGAATGGAATGACATTATACTGTTTAATAAATTAAAGCTTCAGTAAGACAATTATTACACACACGTTGTTCAATAGTTTTCATTACTGTGAGTAAAATAGTACTTAGTTGTATAAAGGGTTAAAATAATATTGTCAACAGCAGGTTCATAATTTAGTATCAGATGAAAAACCTAAAACTTTAATTAATCGGTTTCTTCTTCTTTTTCTTTGGGTTTTACTGGCGGTTGGCTACCAGACTTGTAGGTGCATTACCGCCTCCGACTGGAATGGTTGAACAATAACTGAAGTGTAAAAATAGAGGGGAGGGGGAGGAAATGAAAAAATAAATGAATAAATAAAAAATGTGGGGTGGAGTGAGCTAACAATTAATTCCTCAGATTATATTATCTCTATATTCTTTTCTCTAAATGGGTTTCTTAAACAAATTTAATTATATCGTCATATACCTCACTAAATTTATTCCCTAATAAACCAGCCAATGTGAAATCCTGAAGTTTGCTCTTTTTAACTAATTGAATAAGATCGATAAGTATCGTTCTTTAATATATTTACTACAGTGGAATAAAACATGTTCTATTGTTTCTTGTTGATTACAGTGTATACATTGCCCAGTTGGGTGTTTCTCTATTTTATATAAAATATGGTTGAGTCCAGTATGACCTATTCTCATCTGAGTTATAATCGTACTTCCCTATGATTTCTGTTCTCCCTCCTTCCAGCAACGACTTGTTTATGTATATTTTATAGATGTCTGCCTGTTTCATTGTTATCCCAGTATAATTGCCATACTGATTGTTCTTAATTTGATTTTAGCTTCTGCTTTACTCAATGGGACTTCTAGATCAGTGGTTCCCAACCTTTTTCTTAGGGCCCCCCCCCCCATGAACATATACAAACATTGGAGCACCCCCACCATATAAATACACACGCACACACACACATATGTACTGTATATATATATATATATATATATATATATATATATATACATACAGTATGTGTGTGTTTGTGTAATATTAATATATAATATGTATACAAAATATAAAATAATCAGTTTTAACTTGTCTTGGCCTTCAATAAAACCAAAATTTAGGTAGGCTTTGACATACTGTCTAATCTTTTTCTTCACCTCTGAAGAATCATTGCATTTATGTTTCTCTGCCATTTTTGTTTTGATTTTGCTTTTACGAGAAGTTGGACAACCACATTGCGCAAGTGAGCAAAATTTAAATAATTATTTAAAGTTATTTATTTTAATTATTTTTACTATTATGTTGGAATTTTAAACACATTTTTTTTGGTACTTAAAAATACATATATAATAGTAGGGCTGCTCGATATTGGGAAAAATCATAATCACAATTATTTTGGTCATAATTGTAATCACGATTATTCAAAACGAGTATCAGAAAAAATACAATAAAATTATTAGCGCTCCTGAGAATTTTTTTAAAATAAATATTTCCCAAATTATGTTTAACAGAACAAGGAATTTTAACAGTATTTCCTCTAATATTTTTCTTCTAGGCTTATTTGTTTTATTTTAGCTAGAATAAAAGCAAGTTTAAATATTTTGAAAGCTATTTTAAGGTCAATATTATTAGCCCCCTTAAGCAATAAATAATTTTGATGACTTGCCTAATTACCCTAATTAAGCCTTTGAACTGCACTTTAATCTGAATGCTTGTATTTTGAAAAATATCTAGTAAAATATTATGTGCTGTCATCACAGCAAAGATAAAATAAATCAGTAATTAGAAATGATATATCAAAACTATTATGTTCAGAAAAAAACTTCTTTCTATGAAACAGAAATTGGGCAGGAAAAGTTAATATTCAGCTAATATTCAGGAGGGCTAATAATTCTGACTTCAAGTGTATACATACAGTTATTTTCCAGCCTGCAAAGGAAAGAGAAATAAATACAATTAAATAAAAATATTAAACAAACTGTGCTTTAAGCATCTTCACTGTAAGAAAAACACTTTAGCTACAAAAATCCTTCAGTCAAGAGCAGAGAAACATTTTCTCCTTGTTTGATTAATGATAAAACAGGCGGCAGCAGGAATATTTTGCGCTGTCTCTTTAATGGTTTCTCTTTCACGTCTTTTGATTCTCAACTCGTTTGTTTATTACACAAATGAGGGTTAATATAAATAATCACTAAACACCGCGTTTTGACACCTATTTGACCATTAAAGCGCTCACGTTAAGATGACTTTAGTTGTCTGCGCTCCTCTGCTCGTCTCAGTGTGCGAATGAGAGCGAATGCTGACTGGCCGCATGCTTCTGCCCAGACAGCACACATACGTTGGGCCGACGTCGGCCGAAGGTCAACACGTCGGCCCCTTTAATTCTAACATCTATATATGGTCGGCCAAACATACGCATGATCGTTCATGGCTGCATGTGCGTGCTGCACACACACATTCGCGCTTTTAAGAGCAACGCGTGCACAGCTGGAAAGGTGGCGGTATATGATGCAATAATCGTTTATCTTGATTAATGCTTTTTTATAATCGTTTGAAATCGAAATCGGATTTTTGATTAATTGTACAGCCCTATATAATAGTGGAGCATTTTTATGCCTTTTTCTACCTCAATACTTATCCTCTCCCGCGCCCCCCTTGTGAACTCTGGCGCCCCCCTTAGGGGGGCGCGGACCCCAGGTTGGGAACCACTGTTCTAGATCTACTTCACTAATTCTGAGAGCTTGTTTGGCCAGAATGTCCGTCTTTTCATTGCCTTCCACACCTACGTGGGCAGGAACCCAAATGAAATATACAGATTTGCCCATCATTTTAACATAATATGTCTTACAGAGTATGTGAACTTTAATAATTACTGCAAAACATCAGAATGTTATTTCGCATTACGTCCATATAGGAGTGATTCAATCTTTCATAACTTAGTCTTAGTGGATTATATAAATTAAACAAAATTGTGTTAATGTTTGGAGTAAAAGTTTTGATCAACTTCAAATACTGAAAGTCTTTGTATGTGAGAGAGATAGCAGATGTTGTGTGAGGTGGAAAATGAAGGAGAAATGTATCATGTCATGACTGCAACAGTGAGTGGCAAAAAATACTGAAAAAAAAAAAAGACTTTGCCAACAGATTAAAAACAAATCTTGATTCTATTATTTATGAAACTCAGTCTGGGTTTATAAAAGGCCGCCATGTTTCTAATAACATAACATTAGTTTTGGTCTCATTCTTTTTCTTGATATTTATAAAGCCGTTGATAGGGTTGACCACCAGTTTCTGTTTAAAGCATTGAGGTTTTTTGGAATTGGGAATACTTTAGTTAACACTATGGCTTTGTTTTATAAAGGAATCAATAGTTCAGTGATTGTTAATTTTAATACTTAAATGATATTTTGTGTGGTATTAGGCAGGACTGTCCAATCTCTTCCTTTTTATTTGTATTAGTTTTTTTTAGTCCTTAAGCATTGTGCAAAATCAAGATTTGAAAAAAAAAATTCTGTTTTTGAAAGGGAGATTAAGATTTCACAACTGGCAGATGACACCACTTTATTTCTAAAAGATGACTCAAACGTATGAAAGGCTTTAAATTTAATTTCTGATATCTCAAGTTTTTCTGGTCTAAAGCTGAATATCTCCAAATGTAAGATAATGCCTGTTCATAATTTGAGTTAGGAATATATGGAAGATATCCTTGTTAAATCCACAATGAAATGGTTATTTATTTATGTTATTAAAAATCTTTTAGTGAGACAGCACTTGAATTTTTTTTGTCTAGGATCAGCAAAACTAAAAATATTCTTAATTCCTGGCTACAATGGGACCTGTCATTATATGGAAGAGGGTCTTTCTCATTTTGTATATCCGACTTTATCTTTATTTGGTAACACTTTACAATAAGGGTGCATTAGTTAACATTAGTTAATGCATTAGTTAACATGAACTAACAATGAATAACGCATTTATTAAGCATTACCTAACCTTTGTTAATGTTAACTAAACATTTATTTATGTGTTAGCTAATGCATTAGTAAACATGATCTAACAGTAATTAAGGACTTTTTTCAGCATTACTTAATCTTTGTTAATGTTTATTTACACATTATCTAATGCATCTCTTTACATGAACAGCCTAATTAGTTCATGTTTACTCACTCATACACTAACGCATTTGTTAATGGATTAGATCACTTGATCTTATAATGAACAACACATTTATAAAGCAATACTGAATCCTTGTTCATGAAAACTTACAATGTTAGTTAACGCGTTAGTTAACATGAACAACATGTTAGCATAATTGGTAAAGCTTTTAATAAGTGCATAGTTCCTGATCAATGTCAGGGACAAAGGAGGACTCTTTTGGAGTGTATTACATCAGAACCTCAGCTTTAACTGTTATTCATGTTTGCTAACACTTTACTAACATGATTTATCATTAACAAAGCATTTATTAATAGAATTATGATCCTTATTGTAAAGTGTACACTATTTCAACATTACCTAATGCTTAACTAGCATTAATTAACACATTACTAACATGATTTATCATTAACAAAGCATTTATTATTAGAATTTTGATCCTTATTGTAAAGTGTGCACTATTTCAACATTACCTAACGATTAAGTAACGTTAATTAACACTTTACTAACATGATTTATCATTAACAAAGCATTTATTATTAGAATTTTGATCCTTATTGTAAAGTGTACACTATTTCAACATTACCTAATGATTAAGTAACGTTAATTAACACTTTACTAACATGATTTATCATTAACAAAGCATTTATTATTAGAATTTTGATCCTTATTGTAAAGTGTACACTATTTCAACATTATCCAATGCTTTAGTAACGTTAATTAACACTTTACTAACATGACTTACCACCAAACCAACAATAACTAATGTTATTAACATCTGTGGGTTCATTAAAACAGTCATTATTGATTTTCCTGGACCCAAAAAATACTCAAAACCATGTATCACTCAGACTTTCAAAACCTTTAATACATTACATAGTTATGTCAATTATAAAAACATAAACACATTTTTAGTTTTAAGATAATTAATCTCTGCATAACTGGGAAAGTGGTTATTGCCAAGATTGCCAAGGTTCATGGTACTTCCAGGATGCAAATGTTGTTTAATAAGTGGCATAAGGTGATTGCAGGACCTTTGATGAACAAGCAAAAATGCTTTTTGTGTGTGTGTGTGTGTGTGTGTGTGTGTGTGTGTGTGTGTGTGTGTGTGTGCAACCCCCAGCCTTCCAAAGACACATTTTCTTCTGTGCCACACTGTTAAAAATTGTCCCGTTAAAAAACAGTAAAATACTGGCAGCTGCAGTTGCCAGCAATGTACTGTTATTTTACAGTATGTTGCTGTAAAAATTCATGGACTACATTGATTTACACAATACTCAAGTGAACTCATTTTGCTCACTGAAAGCAACTGCCTCAACTTGGTCAACTGCTGAATGAGTTTATGAAGTAATGTGCTATATATGCTTAGAAGCATACTTATAATGATAACTTATTTTAGTTAATTAGAAAAGTTCGGTTTAACTCTAATGTCTTATTTTTCACAACAGCACACATACATGTAAATCTGGAATCACCAGAGAGATTCTGACTGCATCAGCCACTAAACAGCCGCTATCTTTAAATAGAGAAACATACAGAATAACATCAGCAGTTCATTGTTCATCTTTAACTCATACACTGGCTCTACTCTCCTCCACAACGGTGACAGACAGAAGAAATTAGCTTCAGGTTTTACAGTAAAATACTGTTTTTTCCTTGATTTAACAGTAATCTACTGGCAGCTGTGGTTGCCAGCAATCTACTGTTTTTTTACAGTCTACTTCCGTTGTGTAAATTAACAGTATATTACTGTTAAAATACATTTTTACACTGTGTTTTTAACTCTCATACATTTAACCCTTTAAACCCCAGAGCAAATACTTCAGTTTTTATTGAAGTGTCCACACTACTGAGTGTTCAAGAAACATGTAGCAAAGCTGAAGTAAATTCATTAATTAACTGACTAATTAAATGATAATTGAGGATTAACAATGAACAAATGTAGAAATACTGAAGGGAAAAAACAAGAACAGAACATACAAAACTTTAGTCACAGCTTTATAATGAAATAACCTGAAGAACAACAAATGATTAAATCATTTAAATGATCAGTGGATGATTAAACAACTCTACAAACATCATCACCAGCTACACTTATTACTTAATACATGTATTTTTGTATAACATCTGCTAAAGTTCTTCCTGAGAAAAAGTTAAAGTTTTACGTCACCATCATGGAGAACAGAGTTTACTTTAGTTGGGCTCTTAGCCCTGTCATTTTTAACATTTATATATCTTGGCTGCTACAATTGTTAAGAACTTTGTTTGAAAAGCTCATTTGTTGTGGCAAGCCAGCCAAAAACCTAAATAAGATCTGGTGATGTTCATGTTGCTATTAAATGGCAGAGTCTGTTCTCATTTAGTATAATAAAATTTACTGCTCCTATTCAATGTTACATCTATTGTTTTACATTATATGTCTATATGTGGCAATGATTTCTGGAAGTGTTTAAGAATATCTTGGACAATAACACCGCTCTATGGTGTAAATCGCACTCAAACAGACATCAATAATCAGCATATGAACCTCAATAATGGTGAAAACAAATTTAACAAAATTAACAGTTTAACTCACAAACAGGCAACTGAAAGTCTAAACATAAACAACAGCAGAATCAAACACAAATAAAGAAAACTGTTAGACCATTATACAACATTTATTTATACCGCAATGCATGCTGGGATATTTGTACAGTGCCACTCCCAGCATGCATTGCAGCATGAAACATTTGAGATGTTACCATTGTTGAGATACAAGGTCAGATTCATGAGGTCTGAGTGTGTAGTTGTCATAACTGAACTGTTTTTGTATGTTATTTCTTAACTGTAAAGTAATTACAGAGGTATCTTTTCTTTTTCCACTTCTCATTAATTAAATTAATACCTGCAACTAAGAATAAAATCTATTGAATGTGGCCCTTCTTCCAGATTTATACCAAAACATTTATCAGAACTAATTTCAGAAAAATAGATTTCTCTTTTTATTGACTCTCCAACTTTAATGCTGTAGTACAAATGTTTTGTAAACTCTGTATTCAAGCAGATGGAAAGTCTTCTTAAAAGAGTTCGAGGGTGAAGAGCCTAACTAAACCAGCCCCTCACTCCATTACGGTGACACAAAAAACACCTTAATTTCTGTTGGATCTCAATGAGAATAGTATGGAAGTCAAATCAGTCAGTAATAAGTGTGTGTCTGCTGTTGTTTGTGGAGTTGTTTAATGATCCTCTGCTGAGACTGAAGCTGTTTTATTTTATTTTATTTAATGTTGTAACTCAAGTCACTGTTTGTATTTCTTGTTTATTTTCTTCAGTAATTGTAATTATTAACAGCAGGTGTTCATCAGTGTCTGAATTCACTCATTAGTGTTCATTAAAACTGTCAGGTGAACTATATTAGTTAACTAGTGTATGAAATAGTGAACAAGGGCACAAATTGTGATTTCAAACACAGACTTCAAAACATCGAATCTGAACTCTTGTTCGCTCACAGTTTTCTGCAGTTGGTTTCTTTCTCAAAAACAAAAATGTTACCCAGAAAGCACTGTTTTTAACAGAATATTACTGTTTTAGTGAAAAAACATTATTTTACTGTAGAATCTGACCGTTTTTTAACAGCAATTTTTTACAGTGCAGGTCTTCCACGTCCATACGGCAAAATATGCATTATAAACACAAAGATAAATATACAATATAAATAAGTTAAATACAGATAAGGTGTTCAACAAATCAACAATTATTTGGTGCTTTAAGCACACAATGACATTTTGTTATTTCTCTAATATGTCTTGCATGTAAGTTATATATTATTTATCTTTTATTTGTGGAGGAAGTTGATTTCATCATGTATGCATCAATCTTTATTGTGCAAACAACAAATGATATGTATTCACGTTCAACATGCAGAAAGCATGAAAGCATGCAGAAAGCATGAATATGTCTAACTGTATGCAATTAGTATTATTTGTTGTTTTAAAATATTAAAATTCACTGCTTACCTGCTGTTGCACTGAATTCTATTACTTCCGTTTCTTTATTGGGCTGTCGTCGCGGCTCGCGGGGACGAGCGCAGGTGAAAGGGTTCCGGAAGTAAAATTCGCGATCATTAATTCAAAGTTTTACTGCTAATTATTTAATTCCAGAAGACGCATTTGTCAATAACTCTTTAGCGATGTGGTTGTATATAAGTTGCTATTGTGGTTGCGAATTAGGAATTAATTTTTAAAACTTTTGTAGTCCATTAAAAAAACTACACTACCCATAACTCGTCAACAGTCTGGCGGGTAACGGAAGTTGTGCTTGATGATGGCAAGCGGTTAAATGGAGGAAAGTAATTTGAGCTCTTGCCTTTAAGCGGGAGAAAGACCAAAGAAAAACCAAACGATGAATTTACAGAAATGTCTGGTAAGTAGCTTTAATCAAACTTTCTTTACCAAATGGTAACACTTTTTAATATTGTTGAACTTAATATTAGGTCATACTTATAGTTTACTAACATGAACCAACAATACATGTCTTAAAGTATTTATTGATTAACAATAATTAATGAAAATACAGTTGATCTTTGTTTGTTAATGTTAACCAGCACATCTTTTAGAAATACATTTTAATATTTTACATTAGTAAAATGTAAGATTTTAATAATACATTAGTAAATGGTTGATAAATTATGTTCATTGTTTGTTCATGTTTGTAAATGCATTACCTAACATGAACTATGATTCCTGTAACGTTAACAAATGTACTTTTTTTGTAATCTAATGTTTATTTTAGATACTCAACCATGGAAGGTGGTGAAGTGCAACAAAGGAGTCCTGGAGATTTTTGACAAAGGAAGCAACATGACAGATGCGTTCCGAAAGTATGGTGTGGACCGAAACACGATTATGCAGAGTGCAGCTATTGCTGAACTGGCCATTGCAGCTCTTATTCTATGCAGAACTATACAGAAATTCAAAATAAACAGGAAGAGAAATTATTAAGCATTTACTCAAAATTGTCAAGATGATATTATGGCAGATGAGAGCATTGCACACAAAATACAAGCCATGAAAAATGAGGGGAAATTGCTTTTAATGAAAAAAAAAATATTGATTTTATTAATTTTATATGTATATGTATATACACTTTTTATACTTTATTTTTTATTTTTATAATTATTATGTTACTTATTTGTTTCTTTTTTATATATTATTGTACAGTATATGTTATGTAATGTACAGTAATAAAGATTTTGAAAGTCTAAGTGATACATGGTTTTGAGTGATTTTGGGATCCAGGAAAATCAAAAATGAACCCACAGATGTTAAAAACATTAGTTATTGTTGGTTTGATGGTAAGTCATGTTAGTAAAGTGTTAATTAATGTTAGTTAAGCATTAGGTAATGTTGAAATAGTGCACACTTTACAATAAGGATCATAATTCTATTAATAATTGCTTTGTTAATGATAAATCATGTTAGTAAAGTGTTAATTAACGTTACTTAATCATTAGGTAATGTTGAAATAGTGTACACTTTACAATAAGGATCAAAATTCTAATAATAAATGCTTTGTTAATGATAAATCATGTTAGTAAAGTGTTAATTAACGTTACTTAATCGTTAGGTAATGTTGAAATAGTGCACACTTTACAATAAGGATCAAAATTCTAATAATAAATGCTTTGTTAATGATAGATCATGTTAGTAAAGTGTTAATTAACGTTACTTAAGCATTAGGTAATGTTGAAATAGCCCAGATAGCAGGCAGTAATCGGCCCGAGCTCGGCTGCCCTCCGGCGCCTCCGGCTCCGACTCGGCATCGGCGAGTGTTATCCGGGCCGAGTGCGGCCCGCAGCTCGCTCGCGCACATGCGGTTGTGATGCGGCTGTAAAGCACTGGCCCGATTCCGGTCAACCATATCCTGGCCGCTTCTGGCAAGGACTCGGCTGATGGCAACCGATTAAGTTCTTTTTTTATCTAGTAATCTGTTAGCTCCACGTTTAATGATAGTTTGAGAAAATATTCATGGTACGATAGCAAAAAAAAAAAAAAAAAAAAAAAGAATATTTAGTGTGGATGGTCGCAATGTTTAGACGCAAACAAAACAATATTATTTATAAATAGATTATACATGTCATCTAGAGAAAAACTATGTAAAATTCGCTTATTTTTGAGATAGCACGCTCCTGTGCTGACTGTTTTTTTTTTTTTTTAAAGCAGAAGTTGGTTTCATAATAAACACATGCGTGACTAAACTCATGATCCAAACTCCAATCCAGACGGTGGCGGTAATGCTCCAACAAGCTGGTTGTCAACCACCATGGCACGAAGATCACAAGAAGAAAAAGTTTGATTTTTCAAAGATTCCATGTGGATTCCGGTCAGAAAGGTAAGCTTTTTACTGCTTGTGTACTGTATAATTAGCGAATTTAGAGCTTAAAACATTTCCACGGTGTTTGGTTGTAACAGCGTTTAATTTAAAACAGTTTGATACGAAATGTAACTTGCTTTAAGAAACACGACTGGAGCTAATGTATGCTAACGCTAACAGTTACAAACACGTCTGAAAGTTCCTTTTCCTTTTACACAATGTTAGATTGTAACGTGTGTAGTAACTGAAAACTATTTTAATTATTTTAAAGAAACATGAAACGAATTTGTGTGTATGCTAACTTTGCGTTAAAGAAAGTTTCTGTAGACGAATCCATTAACGCTAACATGGCAAAACGTTTTTCCTGATTTAACATTATAAAGTACCGTGGATGTTGAAAAAATCATTGTACAGGCGTATACTTATCCAACAGTATTAATTCTGTGATTATGTGTAAATAAAAACTAATCGTTTTGGATTAATAAAATATTATTGTTTATCTTGTTTATGCAGTTAGTCACGAAAAATGATTGAAACTCGACTGTTTACTATTCTCTTTAAATTATCCAAGAGAAATATATTAGTGTGCACTTTAATTCATATGTGTGAATCAATTATATCTTTTGTTCAAGCTGTAATGGTCAGTTCATGTAAAACTGAACGTCTTAAAGCAGATTTTGATGTTTTTTTTATGTTATTGACAGTGATAAATTCTGATTTAAATGAATGGGTAACAATATTTGTTGGTTAAGTCTTATTGTTCTTGTTTAACAAAGGTTAGTGAGATCATTATGCAGCACATCACGACCATAGAAGTCAATGGCACACTCTTTTGAACGTGAATAGTCATGTTATAGTTGTGTGCTAAAAGTCCATTATAAGCTGTAAACTGCTGATACATTTTCAACATAGATTGAGCTTTTCAGACGTTACATTACTAATTGCTTCACAAACAGCTAAAATGGTTTATTGTTATTGGCTATCATCATCAAACATTTTTCACAATGGTAGGTTAATCTTCATGGGTACAGAATAATGCATGTGCTTGACCATCTTACAAATCTATGTCTCAGATTCATAAGGCTGTCACTCTGCATAAATCTCCGAATAAATCTTGTGCAACCTTCTGTGTACTGATTATTTACACTATAGGTATTATATGCATTAATTAACTTTGATAGTATTTTAGGATTTGAACTTTTCTTTACGGGAGGTTAACAACAATGTGATGTTTCATTATAGATGCATATGAGGAAGCTTGACTCAAACATCCACACGCAACTGATCGCCTGTCATACATCTAAAGACAGAACAGGTTTGTTTGCAATTATTTTAAACACATACTGTCAACATTATGTCATTGATCTATTACAACCTGTGAGTTTTGCCCTGGCACTATACTAAAGTGATGTTTTGTTTTGTAAATGTATCTGATTAAGGGACAGTATAGACACATCTATACCGTGATGAAGAAAAATTACTTGGAACAAAGAGGCTGGATAAAAGGCAGGTATGAAGATTTCAGAAATCAATGCAGCACCACAAGTACCATCACCATCAATGACTATGGCAGAAATCTTAAGACCACCATCAAGATGCACAGATACTGTACATTCCAGTACACCAGGCGTGTCCAAACTACGGCCCGGCTTTTTATAAATATCAATAGAATCTGGCCCGCTATACAAAAATGAACGTAATTCAATAAATAACCACCGGGTGTCACTATTACATGCATTCAATAAGCAGCAGTTCTTGTTATTGTCTGTCTGTCTGTCTGTCTGTCTGTCTATCTACACACAGTTGAAGTTTGAATTATTAGCCCCTCATTGATTTATTTTTCTTTTTTAAATATTTCCCAAATAATGTTTAACAGAGCAAGAACATTTTTACAGTATGTCTGATAATATTTTTTCTTTTGGAGAAAGACTTATGTTTTATTTCGGCTAGAATAAAAAGCGGTTTAAATTTTTTTATGAACCATTTTAAGGTCAAAATTATTAGCCCCTTAAGTCTTCAGAACAAACCATTGTTATAAAATAACTTGCCTAATTACCTTAACTTGACTAGTTAACTTGATTAACCTAGTTAAGCCTTTAAATGTCACTTTAAGCTGTATAGAAGTGTCTTAAAAATATCTAGTCAAATATTATTTACTGTCATCATGGCAAAGATAAAATAAATCAGTTATTAGAAATGAGTTACTAAAACTAATATGTTTAGAAATGTGTGGAAAAAAATGTTTAACTCTCCGTTAAACAGAAATTGGGGAAAAAATAAACGGTGGCTAATAATTTAGGGGGGCTAACAATTCTGACTAAACTGTATTTTTATATATATATATATATATATATATACACATGTGTCTGTGTGATGTATGTAAAATTTGGCCCGCGACAACGTTTGTTTTTTTGCATCTGCCCCTCGGCCCAAAAAGTTTGGACACTCCTGCAGTACACCTATGAACATTTACAGTCTTTGTTCTAGTGCAGTTTGAGATCAAGACAGAACTTATTGCATCTCATGATGTTTTTGTAAGAATTGAAGACATCACTAAATTTGTTAAGGTTTAATGCAGCTAGAAAGTAAAGATCAACTAGAGAATATCAGCAGTGTCTAACCCACTGTTGTATTTACAGAAGTTGTATGAGAATAAGCTACAGGTTGATTTATACTAATCTGTTATTTTTCTTTTTTAGCACGACTGACTAAAGTTTTAAAATCATGCAACGTCATAAAGCAGCAGCTGGTCCTGATTCTCACAAAACCAAAACAGACGTGATGAAATTCCAGATGTAAACACATTTGACCTTCCTTTGGCCAATTTGATTTGGAAAAGCTTGAAAATCAACTAAAGGAGCAACCCGAACAAATGAAGAAACTGGTAAGTTCAAGCTCTTGCTAATTTCAAAGTGTTTTAAGTTTATTTGTTTTTTTTTTATAGTTTTTTTTGCTTCGTAGGTAGCCTACTTTTTTCCTAATTTTTTCTTTTTTTTTACATTAGTACTTGTTCACTACTAATTATCTGTTTATCTTTTAATCACAGATGGAGTGAGGACAAATGTCCATACCACACCACTGATAAAGAAGTGGAAAAATGCATTATAAGGTAGCTACAACTTGCCCCTGACAGGGATGGAGGAAGAAAGAAGAGAAAGCTAATGTGTCAAATGTCTACATCACTCTTACGCTCTCTCTCACACACACACACACACACACACACACACACCCCCCCCACACACACACACACACACACACACACACACATATATATATATATATATATATATATATATATATATATATATATATATATATATATATATATATATATGTGTGTGTGTGTATATATGTATGGTATGTATGTATGTATGTATGTATATATATATATATATATATATATATATATATATATATATATATATATATATATATATATATATATATATATATATATATATATATATATATATATATATATATATATATATATATATATATATATATATATATATATATATATATATATATATATATATATATATATGTATATATATATATATATATATATATATATATATATA